GGGGGAGGAAAAGAATGTTAAAAAAAAAAGAACAAATATCGGCATTTGTTATCATTCCTCTCCCCCACCTTCTCACATGTTTCAAATAACCCAACAAAAAGAAAAATTTCTTCTGAATTGGGATACACTTTCTTTTTTTCTCTATAACTAAGGAAGGAAAAAGCGAAAAACGTAAAATGTGGTACAACGACGGTTAGAAAAGAAAACAATTGCTAGTTCTGACGAAGTTTTGATTAACCCGTCACCTAATTAAAAAATAAAAAAAGCCAGTGCGTTAAAGAAACAAAAAGATGAAAAGAAAAAAAAATAAGTACAATATGGGGGAGAGGAAGAAAAAAAAAACAAGTATCTTTAGAAAGCGGGTTGCTTGACATTTAGTCATTTCGAATGCTTGTGAAAGGACAAGTACAGAAACTTGGCGTATAAATCGAAAAGCATATAGCTACGTATGTACAGAAAAGAGAGGAAATTTAAAAAATTTGCTGTGGAATAAGAAGAGAAGTTTAGGGAAGGGACAGTAGTTAAGGCGAAGGAAGGAGAAAATAGAAGCTAGCGAAATAAGAAGAGACAGTTTGCGGTAGAGGAAACCTAGAAGCGGGCCAGGCGAGCCCCATTTATCATGCGCCACTGTCAATATACTTAACTGGTAACCGTGGAACACGAGCTAGCCTCGACGCAGGGTCCCATTCTAGGCAACAGCTTTGTTTTCTTGCTAGCCTCGACGCGAGGTCTCTATCTAGTAGTCATTAGATGCAGCGAGCGCTGGAATAAGAGAGAAAAAATAATAGCCGCCAAAAAGGAGTAAAGGACCGGTTTCCGCGACATCAAGTACCACTGGAACGCTATTAAAATAACTGCACAAAAAACAAAACACAAAAAATGTAATGAACTCAAGAAATAAATATATGTATACATACAATGGAATAAGTACCTTTTCCCCCTGGCTGCGCCAAGATTCAGAGCGGGCTTACGCCTAGTCTTTTCGATAGAGAGGATTCGACGTAGTACCGGTTCGTAGAGGTACGCTGGATGAAAAAGGGAGCTATTAGATATTTTTCACATAAAAAGGGATCATATATTTCCACGTGAGATTATTAAAGTACAATCATGCTTTTGAAAGGATTGTAATTAAACAAATGTGAGTAGTTAATGAATTAGGGTTAAAAGTATGATTGATTTCGAAATTTCGTTCTCTAATAAAATAATGGCTATGATACTAAAATAGATTAATTATCCTACTATACTCATATAATAATATTTAGTAAGAGTCAGAAATAATAAGGTTTTGCATATTTTTAGGAAAAATATGTTATTGTTCACAAAGTACACTGCTTTAGACAGCGCCATAATTAATTTTAAAAAAAATCTTAAGAATATTTTAAAATAATTTACTGAAATAAACATTGAAGACAACATCAAATCAATTACAGTAATTAAAAAAATATTTAATGTTATGAATAGTTGATAAAGTAACAAGTTTATTATCATATTTCCTAATACTACTTATTTAGACGTTTTAATTATTTATTTGTCTAATGTTAAGCATCAAATTTCAATTTTTTTTTTTAAGTTGCTGGTTACTTTAGTTGTTAATAGATAAACTTTCTGATCAACGCTTTCTTAACTTAGCTACAATTATGCAAATGCTTAATAACAAATTCTATATTGAAAATATATTTCACGTGTGATTATTAAAGGAAGTAAACAACCAATAAGTTACGCTTTAGAAAAGATTGTAACTAAGCAATTGTGAAAATTCTATTAATACTTTAGTAGTTTAACTACATGTTTACGCTTTAATGTTCATAGAATAAAATTAAATGATGATCATAATTTGGGATTATAAGATCTGCTTAAGTGTATGGGAATAATTTAAAGACAATATGTTATTGTTTACAAAGCATGAAATATTACACAGCACCATGAAAAGTTTTATAAATATATATATATATATATATATATCTTATAAACAACTTCAACTAACATTGTAATAATTGTAATAACTCGTGCCAAAAAAATTTGTAAACATAATCAATTTTCCAACTTTAAAAAATGCCTTTGTCAGAATTCTAAATAAGTACGGAAGTATGATTTTCATGAGTTTGTTTATATAGAAATGCTCTTGTTGCTACGATTCACGAACAATTTTTTTTAATGTCTTTCAAAAAAAGTTGCAATCAAAAAATTTGACTAATTGTCTGGTGTAGTATTTTAAACATTTGTTTATTTAAAGCAATAATTGATTTAAAAATATAACTGTGTAAACTGGATAATAGAATTTCTATATTCTTTAGGAAAATGTGCTGGTGGTTGGACAAAAATAGGCGACACTTGTTTCTTATACGTCGGTGGGGTTATGACTTTTGTTGAAGCAAAACGATTTTGTGAGGTAAGCACTTTTTATGGAAATTAAAAAGCTTGTCACGACAAAGCTATATTACCTAATTGGTACAAGTTAACCCTTTATAGGGCCATTTTAGTTTAGTAATATGTTAAAGTATTTTTGTTATAGAAATTGATTTATAATAGGATAGAGATTGGTTTTTGAAATAGAAATTGATTAAGTATCTATCGCATGACATGCAAAGAATGGTCATAAATTTTGATTCTAAACACTTCAATTGTTTAAACAATTTGTAAAAACAGCCAATACCCATCATTTAGACGCTTACTTTACGTATCAAATTGCAGTTTCATTTCTCAAAAGTTTTGCAGGGAGAGAAAATACTGCTTTAAAATTTTTTTGCTAAAATTGTTAGCAAAAAATTCGCTGTTTATGCCTTTTTCATTTTATTCTTGAAAATGATCGAAATAAGATGTAAATACATTCGGGGATGTAGAGGGGTTGATATTTACACTTTTTTCATGAGTCCTATATTAATAAAATTAACTGCTATTGCTCTTACACAGCTCAGTAACTGCAGAATATGTTTTGAAACTCCGAATAAAACTTAATAATTTATTTTGCTATAACTTAGATAATTAGCTTTGCTTAGGAAGAAGCATTTGAATGAATTTTCTGCTTTTCTGTGGAAGAACTTTTTTTTAATTGAAGGTATCAATTGTACGATGAATTTTGACCATAAATAGCTTAAATTCAATGCATTGCTTTAATTTGGTTTTTTGGAAACCATTACCCTATAGTGTAACAAAAGTTTGAAGTAATGATTTATGGATAAAATTTTAATCAATGACTTTAGAATGTTTCTTTCTGTTTAATTTATATATTAGTTGGAATGTTATGAGTTAAAAAATAGCGGTAAATGTACAAATGCAATCTCTGTTTAGAAGTTAACTCATCAATTTTAAATTTCCCTTCTCAAAAATTAATGGACGTGGGAAAATACTCTAGGAAAAAAATATTTTGAATAACACTGGTATAAACCATATATATAAAGATAAACTAAATATAGTTCATTTTTATGCCACTATAAAAACTATAGCCTTTTATTTCTTACAGCTGGATAATGCCTCAATGCCATACGTCAAAACAAAGCACGATGAGTTGATGGCGTTTGTCGAACATCAACAATACTATTACCAACACTATTCGGATCGTTTTTGGATTCAATCTTTGGATATTCCTCCACGGGAATGTGCAGTTTTAGTAAACAGGAAAGTTGTGAAACATCCTTGTGACGAATATTTCCCATTCTTGTGTGAAAGAGGTAAAAGAAAACAGTATTCTCTTCACATTGTAATTAAGTGAAATTGAACTTTAAATAGTTACTCGGCGCAAATTTTTTTATTTTCTAGGTATGCATTGATTTAATTTTAAACAGTAGAACTATAGTTTCACATTAGAAAAGTGTTGTCGTTGAATTTTTTCCTACGAAATTTTTGCTCGAAATTTACCAACATTTTCAATATGTATTCATTTTTTAAAATTTCGTTTCAACGTTATTGATGACGTTAGAGTCTGAAACAACCCATTTAGTTGATAAAAAGTACTGACAAAACAAAAACAACCTCTTTTTCACATTAAGTTATATTTAACAAATAAAATAATTCTTAAGAATGCTATTCAACCCATTGATTACGAAATAATATGTATGCTAAAGGGTTCTTTTCCTGCTGCTCGTCTAGTCGACGGCTTGCGAGTTATGAGTCATATTCACGGGACTAAAATTTATGTAAAATATGTATTACTCAAATGCATCACAAGCGATTTATTTTTTTTAATCAGTTTTCAGGTTTTTTGTTATTAAAAAAAGAGCGTGATTAGTCACAAAATAAGTTATAGTTGCTGCCAACAGACTTTCTGAAATACCATGTTTTCGAATGTACAGTAAGACAACAAAAAAAAAAAAACGAACCACTCTGAATAATTTTGATCTAATGATCAAATCTTCACATTCTAGGACTCAATGATTCCAAAGAGTAGCCTCAAATATGCTAATTAGTTAGAGCAGACGATATTTTTAGTTACGAAATTAGATACAAAACGTACCTGCTCTGAATCAGCATACTTTTTCCGATGGATTCGAATTTTTGATCCCCAAGATATGGGGTCTGGACCCAAGATGGGAAATATGGTCCCAATAGTTTGGTCAGGAGATCACTCCAAGGTGTGGTCCCTTGTCCCCTTAATGTTAATTTAACTTTTTGCGTATTTCACCATATTTTGATAACTTTTTAAACGAAATTAAACATTTTTTGCATACATTTATACATTTGTTTATATAAAAACAATTCCAAGTAAGAAATAAATTTTAGTAGGTACTTATTATTTTTTATTATTTTATTTAATAGCAATAAAAAAATATTGTATTGCGAGTTATGCAGTTTTTTACATAATTTTAGAGAATGCTATCTTAAATAACAAAAAACAAAATTTTAGCGAAATCGGCCGATTAGTTTCTGAGAAATTGAATTTCAAATATAGGACTTTCTTAAAATTCAATTAAGCTATTCGACCGATTTCGCTCAAATTTTGTATTTGATCATGTAAAATCAAATACTTTAAAATGATGTAAAAAAATGGCATACCTTGCAAGTCATTTTTTTACCATTATTAAATAAAATAATAAAAAATAAATATTTACTAAACTTTATTTTTTGCATGGAATATCATCTTTGAATAAATGAATTTTATAATATTTTCCAGATTGCGGCTACCCCCTATATTTTGGGGGTCAGAAGTCCGTCGGAAAAACGTATGTTTATTCAGAGAAAGTGGGTTTGTGTCTGCTCAAAATATCGTCTGCACTTACTAATTAGCATATTTGGGGTCTCCCCTTCGAGCCATTAAGTCTGAGTCTTAGAACTTGAAAATCAGATCAATTAGATCAAAAAATATTCAGTGTTTCGTTTTTTTCCGTTCCCGCATTGTACGCAATTGGTCCGTTTCCCAGAACGGATCTTTTGGAGCCCGCTCCAAACTGTTCTGACAATGGGGTTCGAAAACAAGCTGAAAAGTTTAATCAGTTTTCATCTTAAGAGATGAGTGGATATATTCTTTCCTTGTTTCTATGTCATAAATAAACGATTTTGTGTAGAATTCAAATGTTTTGAAAGCCATTTTTAAAACTGCAACAATATTTTTGTCACTTTTTCAGCAAAATTAAAATACATATAAAATATACATTTATGTTAGCAAATTTGATTGTTGCATTTAAATAGAAAGATCGAACCACATTCAGTAGGAATGTATAGGTTTGTAAAAGTCGTGAATTTTATTTTGTTATTCTTTAAGATTCTAACTTTCTTATTGTAATTTAATGTTCTAAAAGAAATATTAAAAATATTGATAAAATAATTATTTTTAAATAAAGAATAATGACGACACGTTAAAATTATGAATTGAATCAATCGAAGTCCAACTATTAAACGATTAGCAACGTAAATGATAAACTTCTCAAAAGTTGAAGAAATTTGAAGAGGGCACAAAAAGCTTCTAGCCGTGGAATAGGCCTAATGCCGAACTCCGTCTTAACTGTTATGTAGAATAAGTAATAATTGTTTTTGTTGAGAATTTTGCCATAAATATGTCGATTGTGATAAATAATATAACAATCGATTTTTTCTTCTCTTATCTAGATCCTGAAATAACTGTTTCAACAAGTTTGTGGTTTATGGAACCACTCACAATAGCTTTCCTGTGTGTCAGCGCTCTTTCCTTCCTTTTTGTGGCTCTATGTGTTGGATTTTGGCTTTGCAAGTCCAGGCAAAGGTACCGAGAGAAATTGGAAAGGAGAAATTCCATACGAGCATCTATTAGATCAAATCGTTCTCTAACAGGCTTTTCAGAACTAGGCTACAAGAGGAGAATAGAAAGAGCATATGAAACAGAGTCAATTCCTAAACCAGTTCAGTTGAAAATGGATGGAAGTTTAGATTCCGTAGAAAAATCAGCATCTAAATTTAGCTGTTCTATGGACGATAGCTTCGAAAATACTCTTGGCGACACTAGTTCAAGTAGGGTTCCAAATGGCGACTTTTCTGCTTTTGGAGGGTAAGTACATGCAAAATATCAAAAGACGTTTTCGATAATGTATAATATAATTTTCATTCGAAATATGCAGAATTCTTAATTTAACCATTTTAAGTTCAAATTTGTGAGCTGGAGTGGTTGGAAATTGAAAATTGCATCTATTTATAAAGTGGTAGTATGTTTACCACTGTGAATACATTTACAAATTAAGTGAATATTTTCCCCCCCGTTAATTATTCTTTTTTTTCTTTTCTTTTTTAAATAAAACAATTGCTTAATTTAGTAACCAGATACAAACTTTTTCTGATCAGCATGCTTCCGTATTAGTATCAGTTCCTTGTTCTTACCAACAGACATCGCCAAGGCGCCAACAAGTTTTTTGTAACTTGTAATTTATTTAGAAAAAAAAATGTACTGGTTTGCTTGAGGAGAGCTTCACTTCCAGACCAGTTAGCTCTTGCTGTGATTCTCCTTTTCTTAAGTTTTAGTTTTTTGAGTGTGTGATTTACTTTTTTTTAAGAAAGTTTCAGCTTCAGTTTTTTGCGGTTGTCGCAAAAATTTGGCGACTTTTTGGCTCAAGCTTCGATACGGAAATATTTCCTTTGTTATGAATAAATTATGAAGGATCATACTTTAACATTAGGAGACCATGCCCTTAATTATTTACCTCTAATTTTACGAAACTTATGACGACAGATCTATATAAGTATTTCTCAAAATTAGTATCGAAGAATATATGAAATTTCCAACAATGAAAAAAAAATCTAACGATGGTGTCACAGTTTTCCATTGTTGTCGAGACATTTTTTTGGCCGGAAAATCACATGGTAGGATAAAATTTTCCAGCTTATTCCATATTATTTTGGATGTCATCCATATTTTTTTGGCTGTAAAATTAATAAAAGGTATTGTTTTCCTGTGAAAGATTTTTGTATCTCAAATTTAAGGATATTTACCTGTAAAATTATTTTTATTTTTATATTACTCTGCTATTATAGCGTTTTTGATTTTGAACGCTTTCGAAATTTAAAGAATTGTTTCTTCATTATAACGAAATTCTATAATATTGTCTTATTAAATTTCCTTTTAAGATAAACTTACGCGAGTCTAAGTCGAAACTTATTAAAGGTTTAACCAAAAAAAGTGGTGTAAATTACATTAATATGTTATAAATTATAGTCAAAGAGATTCGATAAATGATTTAGAACTTAATGATCAGCAAATTGTATTTAATATATCAGCCTGTTTGATTAGCGAAAATATTAAATTACGGCTGTGACCTCGCCGACTTTCTTCTAACACTATACCTTTAATTTAAAATGTTACTTAAAAAAGAATTATTACTAAGCAAAATTATTTATGTTTACTAATAGATCTTAATCATATGAGAAATATAATCATACGAGATCTTTCATACTTTTTACCAATCAAATTGGATTCGAAATGAACATTTAATTTAAAACCTCAAATATTACATTATATCTCTTCTTACATAATTTTTTTTCTCCGGAAATCTTTCAAGTTAATTTATTAAGTCCTAACTTAATGCAAACCAAACATAACCAAAAATTTATTTTAGGATAAACACATTTCTGCCCATTTTCAATTTTTATTATATTATATTTATTTTTTTTTTCTTTTTCAAAATTCAGATTCCGCTCGGACGCAGAACATGAAAACAGGACGGCCAATCTGATGGCTCATCCAACATTTGATTTGACATATGAAAATCAGTGTTTTGTCGATCGATCGGTTTCCAGAAATTCTCACGAAATATCTAGAGATTGGAGTTCTTCTACGGGGTCTACTCTTGACATGAAACGAGCTTTGGAACGAGAAACTAAAGAACAGAACTACCACGTTGGTCCCTACAGGCAGACTCCTTCTCCAGCTTTAACATTGGAATCCAATGGAGACAGTAGCCGAAGCAGCAACAGACAACCTCCATTGGAAACAGCCATGTAAATAAATTCAAAACAACAAGTCACAACATGTTCCTATTGCATTTGCAAGTTTGAGAGTAAGCTGTGCTTGCATCAAAAAATGATGTCTTTCAATCACAAAGACTGATTTTTTCAGACTGATCTAAAAGCTCAGTTGCATGAAATAAGTTTAACAGCAACTTGCTCAATAAGTAAACTGGAAAACAACGATTTTGTTTATTTAAAAAAAAAATCCCAAAAAGGCTCATACACATTCTGAATAGGGAATAAATTAGCCCAAGTTCGCTCTAGTTTATAAACCTTATTTACATTTACTTTATTGCAAGTTACTAGTATGCTTGCTTAGGTTAACACAACAAACCTGATTTACTTAACAGCAAATTGCTAGTAAATTCTCTCACAGTAACTGAGCTTTCTACCAAAGTTTTTAAGTGCCTGCTTTCTTTTTCAAGACTTAGTTATCAGCAAATAATACTAGTTTGTGAACGGAAACTGAAAGCAGTGTTAGATTTAACAATACCTGGTGCCAAGAATGAAGCAGGATAAAAAATATCATGCCTGATATTTATTTATTTAGTTACGATTTGAGCAATTAAAATTTCTTAGTGACCTAAGGAATTCACAATCATCTTAAAATCAAAAGTGTGAACTTAAGTGCCTTCATTGAATACAATGCTCAAGACTGTATTTTTTTTTATGTGCAATAAAGCACGACTGAAGAAAAGGGTGCTCATAAAATTTACAAGACTTCAACAAAAATATATTTTTTCTTTTTTTTAAGAAACACACTTCATTTTCTTTATGGTTTTATTTAAAATCAACATTAACAAACATAAAACACCATTTTAATTTCATAGTTTTAGGTAAGCGAATAGATATTTAGTCATCTTTGGAGATAAAAACTCTTTGATTTCATAAAATAGAAATTTGAATGCAAAAATGAAATATTGTTCAGCAAGTAGTTTAACACTATTTGCTTTATTATGCCACGAAATTAAGGTATCATATACAGATGTAGTTTACGATCCTGACGATCAAAAGTATACTATTAATTGTTATTTTTATAGTTATTGTCTAATATGGTTTTAAAAAAAGTAAGAAAAGGCTGTACAATTAAAGAATATCACCAATGAAATTGTTGTAATTCATGTAATTGCTTTTCATTCCAGAAATTTAGCACTTTCACGTAGAATCCCTCACCCATGATATGCGCTTGCGCATGTACTACGAAACAATCTCAGTTTTTTTCTGAGTTTGAGTGAAACAAAACATACATGAAAGAATCGGATGCTACGTGAAGTTGCTAAATCTCTCTATTAATAGTACTTCATACCTAGCCTTACACACGCTTACATTTTTGTATTATTAAAGAGCTTACTATCATTAAGGGCTCATTAATAATAAATTATATAAGTTAATATGTAATTAGCTAAGGAACTATTTTAATAAGTTGTATATTTCAAAAGTGAAATGAAAATGTAAAGAGCTACCAATTTTTAAATTGGAATAAGCCAGTTAAATTTTAAAAAAGCTTGTATATAGAAAAAATATGCTTTGTTGCTTACCTAGTAATCATTGTGTTATCTAGTTCAATATTTAAATAAATTTCATTCTCACAAAGGAACGGAAGAAGAAAACTGCCTTTTTATGTAAAATGAGCTTTTTTTTAAATCGTTCAGTTTTAGTGAACGAACACGTGTATATTTGATTTGTGTGAAATAATTTTTATACTTATTTTAATATAAAAGTTTTATAAAATATTTTTCATTGTAATAAATCATTTCCATTTGATACAGAGTTGTCTGAATCTTTTTTTCTTTCTAAGTACTAAAAATAACGAAATAGTCTCCACAATTTTAACAGGCCTTAGAATGCTAATTGTGGTCTGGATTTATCCCCAGTGTTTAACAGATATTTTAATTGCATAAATTCAGAATTCTTTGGTCTTCAAACCACATACAGTACTAAATCTCAATTTTAAAACAGCTTGGAAAACTTTAATCACTATCGCTTCAATTCCGCAAACTAATGTAGATAAAAATTGATTTAAAACATACCAACTGTCTCTTTCAAACCACATAAATCAACAATTCTGAAGACATTTTTCATAACTTACAATCTACACTTTTTTATTTACGACTTAAAAGTGTTTTAATTTCTTTTTCAAAAATAGATATTTTGTAAGTTTATAGTAAATGAAATAGTGTAATTTTATTTTTTCGAAATTCCAACTTTCGAAGGAGTTAAAGAGATTTGTACAGAGTTTTGTAGTATCGCGTTTAATCTTTAATCACGTTCTTCAAGAAAACAGTGTTTTATAACCTTGGTTCCATCGGTATCTCAGAAATTATTCATCTAATTTCCATTTTGTTTTCAAAGTTCAGACAAAATTATCTACATTTCATCTACCATATTACTACTATCTACATTTCATCTTATGTAAAATAAAAATTGACATCAAAAGCTAAGATGAAATGTAATTCGTATATTTACACACATAGTTAGATAAAAATTGGCTAAGTGGTAAAAATATTTCGCCCAAGATCAAACACTCACTTTAAATATTATAAAAAAACGAAAAACAAATAAAAACTAACTATACAAAGACCAGTAAAAAAAATCCAATAAATGGTTTCGCGTAAAAGATAATATTGTAAGAGGCAGATAGTTATTGCAGTGGTAAACATTTCAGGACACGTATATTTAATAATTTATATTCCCTTTTCCTCGACTTAGGTTTAAAAATAATCAGCAAGACGAACTTTATAAAAAAATTTCCTTACACTCGCAAGGCAATGTGCAAACAAAAATGCATTTACTTTAATATGCACGCAGACGAAAAAATAAATAAATTAAGATCATAGATCAAAATTGTCACTATTATATTCAGTATTTTTGTAAATAATTTATTCTCGATGATTACACTGGGGAACTAATTTTCTGCTGCATTTATACAAATACTCCCTCTTACCTAATTTGGTATGGGGCTTTTTAATCTGAAATTAGTTTTATTCTAAAAGCTACAGATTTTTTTTAAAAAAAATCTGTAATTTTAGTCTAGTTTTGTGGAAATATACAAGTTTAAAACATTATATATAAAATGGATCTCGAAAATGTAGTGACAAACTTCTGGGGTAGTTAGGGCACTTTATCAGGAGAAACCCCAAGCCCGGAATCGTCGTCGTAAGCTGCGCTTCCCTATTCTGATCGGTTCGGAACCACGCGAAGAAACGGTTTATAATAGGAAAGCGCGCTAACGGTGTATGATGACATTCCCGGGCATAGGTTCTTTTGCAATTTTTTTTAATACTGAAGATGAGTACAAACTCTTACGGAAGTTCGTCGCAACATTTATGCGACTCCCTGTTATATGTAACGTTTAAAAACAGACTAAAATTGTCATTTAAAAAACAAACTGTAGCTTGGAGAAAGAAACTGATAGCAGATTTGAAATTAGTGTCACGAAAGTATCTAAGAACAGGGTAAATCTCATGCAACAGAAAATAAATCGCTTCCCAGTGTAATTTTTGTGTATAAACTCAACATTTTACTTATTTTATTCCTCCATGTTCACTTCGAAAATGTATTGGGTTGAATGCTTAGTTAATTTGCTAATTAGCCGGCAAATCCGGTAATGCACTGGGTGACCAAAGCATTATGCGATCTAGGCAAGTTAACCAAATGGTGGAGTAAATTAAGTCTTGCGACAAAAAAGAGGAAAGAGCACAGGACTAGTATTAGTGGAATCCTTATTTAACTTAAAAGAAAGCAACCCATATGAGGGAAACTGAAAAATGTCTTACCTCTATAAACATAGTCTTGGCTGTTGACCCTGTTTCAATATCTTCATTTTAAGTATATCAAAAAACAAAATGTGCAGGCCTAAAATTAAATGTCCGATCTTTCAATAAATTTTTTTTGTTCAATATTACGAAATAGCTTAATTCCTTCACAGAATAATTCAAAACACTCTCTTTTCCTTTGAAAAATATCAGTACTACTATGAAACACTTACTCTACTGTTGAAAATCCAGACCATGGCTACACTTGCTGATAACTAGGTGCAAGTATATTTTGCCCGGACGAATAAATTAGAATTAAAATATTAAACTAGCACTCCTTTTATATAGCTAATTAAACAACAATAATAATTAGCAATTTCTTTATTTTTGAATAAATATTAACCCTAAAATATCAGGTTCCAAGTTTAACTATTCCTAAACACAGTCACACTCACCTAATACTTTATTTATTTCCAATGCCTACCTGTGTTGACATTTCGTCAATGCAGGCATTTACTGGACAGATTTGTTGGCCACTCTTTCAGGTGCACCATATTAGGTGAGCCCCACGTTGTTTCCATACTAAGGACAGATTGTACAGAGAATGAAAGAACATCCATGCCTTGCCGGAATACGAACCCAGAACCTTTCTGATGCAAAGTCAGTTCCCTGACCCCTACACAGTCCGGTCGGCACTAAGCTAATACTAAATCTTAAAAAAACTAAGAAAGTTGGGATGACAGCACAAATTACCTCATAGAGATAGAATAAAAAGTGTACCCACGTTTAAGACGAGAATGGAACTGACTACCTCTACACTACAAAGATTGGCNCCATAGTAAGGACAGATTGTACAGAGAATGAAAGAACATCCATGCCTTGCCCGGAATACGAACCCAGAACCTTTCTGATGCAAAGTCAGTTCCCTGACCCCTACACAGTCCGGTCGGCACTAAGCTAATACTAAATCTTAAAAAAATTAAGAAAGTTGGGATGACAGCACAAATTACCACATAGAGATAGAATAAAAAGTGTACCCACGTTTCAGACGAGAATGGAACTGACTACCTCTACACTACAAAGATTGGCCTTCCTGGACGAGTGGGCCGCTCAGTAGCTTCGAGATAGAGGGTTCGAATTCAGCCATAAAAGCCTTGATGTATCTTAGTGATTTCCTTTTTCAAAATGTTCTTTGTCATGCCACAAGCCTATGTGTGTGTAACAATATATAAATAAAATATAAGCAAGAAAGAATTTGGATTGCTTAATATTAAGATAGTGCATTTGAGCAAAAGTATTAAGTTTGGATGACAGCACAAATTACTTTAGAAATAGAATAAAAGGTGCACGACGAGAATTGAACTGGCTAACGCTACGCTACAAAAAATTCGGGTTACTTAACATTAAGGTCACGCATTTGCTTTTGAAAAATAACTGGAAACCTCAGAAATTATAAATGAATCATCTGTTCTCCGGACTGTTAATATAAATCTGGAATCCGGTAAACTTCTTTAATTTTTTATTAAAGCTCCTAGACTAAATCTTGCCGCAAGGCCACCATTCACGGATGAAGACACTGATCAAAACTAGGAGTTGCGGAATCAAGATGCACTCTTTTCGTTGAAGTAAGGACTACTGATGATTTTCATACCCTTTTTTCAGGAGATGATATAAAACAAGAGCGAGGAGTTACGATAATTAGTGAGAAGGCAAGGAGAAGTCTACAAAACTGACAACCGGTAAATAATAGAATTATTAAGGCAAACTTCTATTCTAAATTAACAGTTATACAGGCATATGCACCAACCAACGATGTTGAAGGCTGGTTGGTAGGGCGTTGGGCCTATGTCCAAGAAATCATGAGTTACCGCCAGCCGAATACTCCCCCTGTAGTAAATAGTGACTGGTGCACGTTGAATCTGTCGATGTATCAAAATCCTCCGTGTTCTCATGACAAATCATACCTCTGGGAGTATTAAATTAAAGATTGACCGTTCTCTGGGCATTTATATGCATAGTAAATCAGCAAAACTTTCTTCATTTTTAAGCTATTATTCGTTCTGATAAAAAAGAAAAAATGATAATTTAAGGAAAAGGAATATTACGTTACAATATTAAAAAAAAAAATTAAAAAATACGTAAGATAATTTTTAAAATATTGACCCTTGGGTCCAGCAATTTGTTGATTTCTATCTTCCATATTTTTCCCTTTCCAGGGTCCCCTAATTTGTCTTTAATTATTTCCTTTGGTACGATTATATAGAATATTAAAAAAATATATCTGGTCGAATTTGAAAATTATAGGTTAATATTAAGGGAAGATATGGGATCATTTATATGCATAGTATATGAGGAAAAATTTCTCCATTTTTTAGTTACTATCCGTAAAAAAAAAATATATTAATTTAAGGAAAAGGAATATTTTATTTACGTTACAATATTGAAAAAAATATATTAAAAAAATTATGAAATATAATTTTTAAAATATTGACCCTTAACGGGGTTCGAACCCCGGATCCTTGGGTCTACTAATTTGTTGCCTCCGATCACGTAACACTAATGGCCAAGCCACAGACAGCTTTACCACTTATATTAACCTTTAAGTACTTTCCCGCGCTTTTCCGATGGAACCATATTTTGCCCCATCCTTGGCCTCCTAATTTGTTTTTAGTTATTTCCTTTAGTAGGATTGTATAGTATATAAAAATATAATATTTTGTCGAGTTTGAAAATTTTACTGTAATATTAAGGGGAGATATGGGGCACTTAAAGCATAGTACATGAGCAAAAATGTCTATATTTTTAAGCTATTATTAGCTCTTATAAAAAACAAAAATAATAATTTAAGGAAAAGGAGTATTTTATTTACGCTATAATATTGAAAAAAAAAAATTTATGAAGTATAATTTTTAAAATATTGACCCTTAATAACCAATAATTTTTAAACTCGACCACATATTATATTATAATATAATATACTACCGTATCAAAAAAAATAAATAATTATAGACAAATGAGGGGAATCATGAGGGGGCAATATATGGTTCCATTAGAAAAGCACGAGAAAGTACTTAAAAGTTAATATAAGTGGCAAAGCCGTGAGTGGTGTGTCCATTAGTGTTACGTGATGGGAAGCAACAAATTAGTGGACCCAAGGATCCGGGGTTCGAACCTGGTTCTGGTCAAAATTACGATTTGTGTATGAATGGGACTGTCCTATAAAACAGGCTGTGACGTACATGTGTGTCAGAAGTCGATTTCTTGCCAATAGATAGCACCACTGCCAAACAAGAAGAAGCGCATCCCTCTTGCCGTAATGGCAAGGGGGATGCGCTTCTGTAAAATACACAAAAATAGAGTTCTAAAACAAGCTTCGAGAAACAATAAATAAAACACCAAAGCATAATTCACTTATATTAATGGGAGATTTAAATGCTAAGAGAGTAGTGGGGGAAGAACGTACCATAGGGATAGAGAAACGAAAATGATTAACTCTTTACAACTTTTTGCGAAGTAAATAACCTTATCATAGAAGGTAGCTATTTTAAACAGAAGGTGATACATAAAGGAATACGAACTTCATCGGAAGGTAAAACAACCAAATAAACAACATTGCCATTAATGATTTTTTTAAAAGGTCATTACAAGACGTCAGAATTAAGAAGGGAGCGGATGTGGCATCCGACCACTGTTTTTGCCAGAAATGTGAGAATAAAGAAAGAAATACAGCATCTAAAAGTTTCAAAGACAAGAAATTTAAAAAAATTTTTTTTTTTTTTAATGGAACTGAAAAACAGATTTGCAGCTTTGGAGAATATAGATGAAAATGAAATGCAAGAAAACGCAGAGGGGATGTGGCAGATATGCAATGAAACTTATAATGCAACTCCTTGAATGACGGAAAAAGTAACTAAGAAAGAATTAAAAGATGAAAGATAGAATCTAAAATTATAAATAACTGTAAATTTGAGAGATTTCTCACCGCTTACTAAAATAAATACTGGGATGCGTACAAAAAAGTAAAATATTTTGCAAGAACCGACAAGATGCCATGGCATTGACTCAACTCCCGGAAGATTCTTAGAGAGCAAAAGCTGGGAACACAGGAGAGGTTTACAAAATTAATAAAACATACTCAGAAGAGACTATTGAAAAAGTGACTGTGGAGCAAAAAGTTAAAATGGCACAACACAAAGAAATACAGGAAAGATGGAGGAAACATTTTGAAATGCGCATCATATTTCAACAATCAATGAAAACTCGAATTTCAGTGAAGAAATTGACTTAAATGAAATAACAAACGAAGAAATGAAAGTAGCAATAAAAACGTGAAAGATTGAAAAAGCGAGCGGAAATGGCAATTTAAACGCAACCTTTCATACCTTGAAGTAAACGCAAATTCTTCGTATAAGCTGTTAAATAACATCTGGACAAATGAAACTATCCAATATCATGGTTGAAAGACGGTATACTCAAGAAAGGTGATCTTAAAGATTTTACCATCTTTTAGATCACCTTTCTTGAGTCTTCTACTACTATACTTTTCACTCGAGTTCTTATGAATAGAATAAAAGAAACAGAGACTTAGGATTGAACAAGCGGATTTTCGAGGAGGAAAAAACACTACAAATGAAATTTTTATCATTAGAAACATATTAGAACAAACCTCTGGATTTCACCGACTTCGCTGAAGCTTTCGATAGCATATACAATAAGTGTTTCTGGATAATTCTAAAGATTAATGGGCTCCCTTAAAAGATAATTAACATTATAAAATGTTTATATGATGTAAGTAATGATAGAGTCCTAGTAAATGGGAACATTGCTAAAAAAGTTTGACATAAAAACAGAAATCATAGAGGTTTGCGAATTAACTGGACTGCTATTCAACATTGCCATTGACTGGATCATGCGACAGACCTTAAAAGAATGCAGAACAGAAATAAGATGGAATTTCGATAGCCATCTTGATCTAGACTACGCTGATGACATTGTGCATCGTCATCAAATTTTGAAAACATGAAATAAAAGATATTTAAAGGTAAATGCTAAACGAATTGGATAACAAATAAATGAATCCAAGACTAAATTGATAAAAAATAAACAGCAATAAAAGTGAAAATGTATACATAAATGGCAAGAAAATTGAGGAAGTAAAACATTTTATACATCTAGGTGCCAAAATAGCCACCGAGGGAGAGGCAAATAAACATGCAGCTATACGAATTAAAAAAAGTCCAATTCACGTTCAAGATACTCAAAATATAGAATTCAGGCAGCATCCAAACGAAGTTAAAACTGCAAATTTTCAAATTAACAGTAAGAGCAGTCCAACTTTCAGGCAGCAGCACTTGGAAATTGACAAAACAAGAAATTAAATTTGACACATTTCAAACAAAATGCTTTTGAAAAATCTTAAAAATTTAGAGGGCAAATAAAATATCAAATTCCAAATTTTATAAACGAATTAATTATAAATCCATAACAGCAATATTTAAAAAAAAAAGCACGGATGGACAACGATTGGAGACATTCATTCTCAGAATGAGGTCATCAGACCCAACTCGAATAGCACTCACCAAGGCCCAGGATGGTAACAGGAAAAGAGGATGGTCAAAACTAACCTGGTGACAAATGATCCTTAAAGAATAAATGCTTTCGTTTGGCCACGGGAACCAGTCCGGTGCAAGGGAAGCAGCACTGGACTGGAAGGGGTCCAGCTCGTGGCCTCATGCGTCACTCCAGCATAAAGAGAAATAAGTAACGTAAGTCAAAACTATAAAGTTTTCTAAATTAGATCACGATAAGTTTTATAAAGTGAACTAATTATTATTATTCATCCATTGCTTTCTTGATAAAATAGCCTACAAGTAACATATGTACAAAAATTTTATTAAAAAAACCATGAACATTATATGACTTACAGAAAAAATTGCTTAATTTGATAATTTCTGATTAAATCTCTTGTTATTGCATACATCATTGATACACAAAATTTTCAATTATTATAATTTTTTACACAAGGTCCCAGCATTTTTAACAAAAACCAAATTAGTTGTATCAGGATAAAAAAAATAAAAACTTCATATTATACAATGATTTCTTGAACAGTACACATTTATTTTTTAATAAGTAATTTTTTCCAGATCATTAAAAAAATCAATTTTAGGTTTATATAAAAAAAAATTAAGAAACTGTGAGATCTTAATTTAAACAACAGTAATTACTGTAGGCAGAATTTTATACCGATAATGATCTGAAAGTATTTTTTTTCATGCTTAGGCTTAAAAAAACTGTTGCCATTGAAGTCCTACAAAAAATATATCTTTATAAAAATGTTTAACAGTAAATTGCATATTATTTATCTGTTTTTTGCTGCTAATGCTAAGTCAATGAGCGCCGTTCAAATTTACACATATGTGTAATTTTATTTTATTTTTGAAGCAAACTACATAAAATTTGATGTATCATAAAAACCTCAAACAAATTTTAAGTAGTGAGCAGGAAAAATAAACCTTAAAACTAAAATTTTGCAAAATAAAAATTCGAATGGTGTTTAAAAGTATTGTAATGAATGATTTAAGTAAAAGAATGTTTGAAAATTATGAAAGGAAATAAAATAACGTTTTAAACTCCAGTTAAAAAATTCAGAATCTTAAATTTAAATTAGTTATTAGTAAGTCAAAAAAAAGTTTCATGCTTTATAAATGAAATAAAAACCACCCAGAAATCAACATTTAAGATTTACAGTAAAAATACAAAAAACTAAAGTAAACTCAGAGGCACGACAGGCTATATAGGGCCAAGGCCTACTGTGCCCATCTGTTTTCTTGACCTTGGGCTCTGGGGTGCAGGAGCAGATGTTCCGGTCAGGTGGTCAGCCGAACGCGGATCCCCAGTGTTTAGTTCCCAAGCATGCTTGGAACTCATTTATCGACCCACTGAAGGGATGAAAGACTGAGTCAATCCAGGACCTGTGGCAAACGAGAGCAAAGCGCCACCACTCAGCCACCGGGCGTCACAGCAAAAATACAAGATGGAGAATATTCAGTTCGTTCCTTAAGTAAGTCCTTTCTCTCCCTCGAAAAAAAAAATTTATTACATTATAAAATAATTGATTCGAATGGAAGCATATTTTTTTTTTATTACAATTGTTGATGTATTCTCCCTTTACTTTACCATTTTATGTTAAAAAAATATTATAAATTACTGTAATCGATTTTACCCATCATACTTAACATATTCACAGTAATAGTGTCTTTTGTCTATTTCTTATGTTAAAGGAAATTTGTACTAACTATAATTATTTTATTAATAATCCCAGTATAAAGACATACATTTTTAACGTGATAACTAGAAAAAGGAAATTTCTAAAACACGATAGGTTTTAGCTCTAAGTGGTATTTTTTCCTAAAAACTACAAACAAGCACTATTTTTTTCAAAAATTTAAATTTGAAAACTCTGAAAATGAACTTTTTCTCAAAGTTTTTTGTTCTTCTGCTCACTTAAAGCAAAATTAAACATTTTTGTTAAAAAGTATTCCACAGAAGTAATTTAAGAGTTGGCAGATCGGAAAGCTATTAACAGACAACTCATAAAAAATAAAAAAAAATTAAATAATATTAAATTGCCAACTATAAGGGAAAAATAAGAATTTTTAACTGATAATTTGTGATGTAAATGTGTAAACCAAAGAATGTTTTAATGAGATTTTTTATACAAAGTTAAATTTAGTAAAATAAAATCTCTGCATATGATTTCATAATTTTTCTTCATTCCAAAATAACATTCTTATCAAAATCATGTAGGGTTTTTTCAGCTAGTTACATGCTAGAATTAGCAAAAGAACATTGAGCAGATGCACAGATTTCCTTGAATAATGATAGACTCGGCTATGAATTTGAAATAAACAATCATTTCGTTTTACTTCTAATTTTAATTAAGTTTAAAGCATGTTAAGCAACTTTTAATGTATGTAATTATGATGGCAGATTCAATATTACTTTTTATAACAGACAAGGCTAAATAATTATTAGCTTTAAATTGTCTTGTAAATAGAATATGAATCTAAAGAATTGGGTATCAAGTTTTTATCCTAATTAGATCAAGTTGTTAGAAAATTAATGAAAATAGAAAAAGACTTAAAATCAATGGAACTGCAATAAAATAATGTACTTTTATTAGTTTGTGAGCATAAAGATTTATATTCAGACATTAGTAGAAAAGTTTAGATAAAGCATAGTTTTACACTATTTTTTAAGAACAAGATATAGTCATTCTTTTTTTTTTTTTTTTTTNATTCTTTTTTTTTTTTTTTTTTTGGCTACTTAGGCACAATTAAAAAAAAATTGGATAATTATATTTATTTTTTTGTAATTCGTAATTTTTACGTAATTGCAATTTCGTAAGATTCAATAAAAGCCCAAGCCTATTATTTAAAAATTTGGTTAATGTTAAAAATTGCTGAAAGGTATTTCATCATAAAGTATATTGTAATTTCATTTTACAAATAGTAGGGGTTTTGCTGGGCAGATAAAATATATTACATGAAAACATCGTGGCATTTGAGCATTAATTATATTTCTAAAAATATATATAAAACAATTTTATAAAAAAGAAATACCATAAAACATAATGAATTAAATGCGTTACTTATTTTAAAAGATAAAGCAAGAATAAAATTGAATCTACAGTTTGAAAGAAGGGAATCAATTTAAGTGCTTTTGTTTCAAGACATAAAAAGTAAAATTTTTGTTGTCTAATAACTTCATAATAAATCGTTGAAACTTTATGTGTAAAGGAAAATTTTTTTTATTTCATTTATTATTATTATATCTTTTTTTTACTGCTTGTTCCCTTTTTCAAGCTATTAACTAATTCAAATTTTATTTATCTATAGCACCCCTCTCTTCAGATTTTAAGTGTTTAAAAAATAATGATGCATCTAATAATGCTGTAGTACGAAAAAGTCTTATCATATAGTTAAATTTAAAAGCAAAATAAAAAAATTAATAAAAATAGTCTACATTAGTTTCCTCATGTTCACTTATTATCATAAAAAACTTATTCCTTTAGTTAACATAAAGAACTAATATTAGGTATTAGTAAATATAAAAAATAACCAATAAAGTTTTAAGTTCAATAAGTAAAATGTTAACACAAACAATAAAAGAATAACTTAGTACTAAAACTTAATTAATAATGTTTAAAAAATTTCTTTAATTTATACAAATATTTAAAAACTGACGAACATTAATATATTAAGAAGGGGTAGGAGGAATGATTGAATTTAAAAGAAGAAATAATTAAGTTTCAGTCTCAGATACTAAATGTTAACACAAACAGTAAAAGAATAAGTTAAATATAAAAACAAGTTTGTAAAAAGTGCAAACAATATTCATTGCAAGTCAAGAAAATTAAATTTGTTTTGTAAGAAATAAATTTATTTTAAACTTTTTGCAATTTCCAAACTAAGTTCCTCATCAATTAATCACTCATTCTGAAGCCCCTTCTAAATAATAACTTTCAAAAACAATAAAATTTTTAACTTTCTACAAACAACAAAAAAGAAAATTTTATACTTCTTTTGATGTTCATTAAGTTGCAAGCTCGTTATTCTATTTCTTAATATTTTTCATAAATTGCACAACTCAAGATTTAATAATTAGTGAAAGCAGAAAAAATCAAAATACTATAAACTAATAATTAAATCTAAGTTTAGTTTTAATATGTTCCTGTTGTATTCAACACAATAGAAAAAAGTAGGGGAAAATACAAATTAAAGCTCAGAAAAGGAAACGATTCCAACTGTTTAGTGACTTATTTATATGAAAATCCCTAACCTAAAAAGAGCTCTCTTGTAAGAAGGCTGTAACACTAGACTTCCGATTTTTTTAAATATATATCACCTTATTCTCTTATTCATCTCCCAATATATTTTTTTTATTGATACTTGATTTAAAAAAATGGAATCATTCCCTTGCATAACTTCATTTTAGCAAATTATGAAGTTTTTACTATATCGTTACTTCTAAATCTTGAGATCTTAAAACTTAAATTCTATTTCATTAAGATTTTTATAACTTTTTAGATTTTATAACAAATTTTATATGAACAAAATTTTAACATAGTGTCCATGATCAATAAAGTTATGGTTAAGCAATGATCTAGAACAGCAGTTCTTTATTATTTTTGGCTATGGGACCATAAATGATCAACTTTCTTTCTAAGGAACACCACCTGAATAAATTAAACACAATTGTGAACATATTAACTAATATAAGGCTTTATTTTGAAAATACCTATTAAGAAAATGAAATTTTTTTATTGTTTTATTATTAATAATCTTTCATTAATATCATGTCCCGCATTTAAATTCACAGTCTCAAAGTTTTATCTAATCTATTTATAAATTTGCTTTTGATGTATATATGCTGAACATAAACAAAATAAACAGAACTAAGATATTTTTTTAAATGAAAACTAAAAGAATTGTAATAAACATTGAAAATGGTCAATAGGAAAACATATGATTTAATTAACGAATAAAGTTATTTCATTTTGAATTGAAAAGTGCAATGAGAAATACCCCTAATGTTAATCTAAATATTATTAAACTTTCCAAAAATTTAATAATATTCCTTTCTGGTTTAAAAAAAAAAGTCTTAACTCTCTAAACTCCTTTCATTTTTACAAGAAACCCTAAGGTTCTGAAGAATATTATTTTGGAACGGCTGATATAGAAAAAGAAACAAAATAAAGTATATAAAAACTAAAGAATAATGGCTTTTTGTAATATTGTAACTGACTGAAGTGCCACTTGTAAACATCAAAAGCACCGTGGATTGGTCACGCCTGATGTTAATGTTCTTAGTTTTTATGTGTTAACAAGGTATGAATTATAATTTAAGCATAAAGCACTTTTAAATCAAGAACTAGGATAAATGAACCATCATGAAATACTACCAAAATTTATCTTAAATAAGATAGAAAAACTAAAAGCAAAAGGGAACTCCTCGATCTTTTCAACTGGGTTGCTTTCTGTAAGAATAAACATAATCCAGCAATATTAATTTTTTTTTCCTTCATAACTTTTATATTGGCTAGAATTTATAAGCATAGCACCATAATTAAAAATATTTTAAACCTTAATTGCTCGAATTTGTAACAAAATCTGCACACAAGATACCTATTACACAAAAATATATAAGTGTGGGAAAATTCCAGCTTCTGGGAAATACAAACAACGCTAGATCTTTTAGTACAACAATACAAACAAATCCTTATTGTAATTTAACTAGAAGCTGCTAGTATCTATGCATGGACTAACCAAACTTGGACAGTAAGTTCTCTCACATATTTTTTAACACATGTTATTCTAAGGAGATTAATTCGTGTTAATGTGTGTTACTTAAATTGTACACGCTCTTTAAATTCAGCTGAAAAACATTAAATAGTAACTTCTAGTTAACTGAACAATTAATAATAAAATCATAGTGGTACATATATATTTAGTAAAGACAAACCTATCACACAACCAGTCTACAATGATTTCACTTTTAAGAATCAAGATTTTTTTAAGGCAATGAATCATAACATTTTCTGGAAGTAATTGGTGTCTTTTGTACTATGAAAGCTTGCCTTTTCCCATACTAACATATTCTTTAATCAGTTACATTAAAAAAAAAGAATTAAACAAATGAGAGGGGGAGGATTAATTTCAATTATTTAAAACTACAAGAAATGATGCTAATTTTTGATGTGAAAATTTTGAAGATAGTCTCAGATACGGCACTGATTTTACATAATGTGACACTTTATAGAACATGTTCATTTTGTTCATGTGCATATTAATTTAAGAAATATTTTTAAGAGTATAAATATATACATTTATGAATGACACGATAGTATTGGAAAATTAGAAAAAATAGCACTTATTTTCTTGTCAGCGAAAAAATTTCATTAACTTTAAAAACTTAAAAGCTGGAACATTTTTATATGATAAAACCAGAATTTATTACAAAAAGTTATCAACTTAAATGCAATATAAACATGATTATTTTTTTTTTTAAAAAAAGTAACACTTCATACAATAACATTCAATTTAGAAATATAATGAATTAAAAAAAATAATAAGTAGAGATATAATTTCAACAAAAATAACTAAAATTCAATGAAAGGCATTTGATGATATAACACCTGAATATTTAACATTTTAAAGACAAACACATTAATGAGAAAATATATTTTAATCTTTGATTATAGTAATTGTCATTACACAATTCTAGACAAGTACTTCAATGTTTAGTATCAGCTGTACACTTTACTTATGCCCCGTTAACTGAGATAATAATGCACAGAGTTAATAATAATGCATTAATAAATAAATTCGTTGCTCTGAATCGCTTTATATCTAACCTCAAATAAATAGTGAAAAAAAAAGCAATTAACATTGCAACAAATGAATGTAAACATAAACCTCTATTATAATCAACAGAAACAACAAAGAATTACAAAAGTTAGTTTGATAAACAGTAAAACCATTAGGACATTATATTTTTAGAAAGGGAAACAACTGATAAAAACAATTAGTAATTGTTTTGAAAATTAGTATCAATGAATACAGGGTGGATATAATTTAAGTTAACACATATAAACCAACACAAAGTCCATTGTGGTGGGTAGAAGTTGATGAAATTTTGCATCAGCATCACATGGACTATAGGAAAAAGAAATCTGTTCGACTGATAGATAGCACTTTTCAGGAAGTAGAAAGGATGCTAATGTAATTTAAAGTGGTTTAAAAAAAAGCCAGTAGTACTGCCTTCTGAACCATGCCAAGAAAGCACTGAAAATGGCAATTGCTAAATTTGACGAGATCGCAGAGAAAGAAGACAGTAGTGGCTTTCAAATGAAGCTATAGATCATGTTGCTACAATAAACCATTTTGAGATATGGCTGAACTTCCCAATATGCTTTTTGAACACGCATTTGATGAAAATGGAATACCTATTGACGCGGTATAATTAAATAAAGCATTGAATCTCTAATTTGTATTTTACACTCATCTAAGCTTTTTTTTTTTACACCGTTAAGTCAAAATTTGAATAGAAATTTATTTAATTTCTTTTTCTTACTGTCCCGATAACATGCACATCCAGTATCATCAAAATACATCGATCAGAATGGACTATACTTTCCTGCAAAGAGTTAATTATGACCACCCTGTACAATAAATAAGTATCAACTTTTTAAAGAAAAGTAAAAATTAATGTTTGCTAAAAGTAACGCTAGAAGGAAGGGAAATTTTAGAATAAAAGCTATCCTTAAGAACAACTTTTCTAAAAACCATTGCTTTACAACACTCACTACCGGTTATAGTTTGGACACAATGTTCCAAAGACAAGGTATCAAACAACATCTAAATATCATTTGTAAATAATATGAATTTTTATATACATCAAACTTATAACTGCCAATAACGTTTACAAACCATAATATAATAACATGAAAAAAGCTAAAGAAAAAAAAGAAATTTTTTTTTTTTTAGTAGGTATAAAATATTTTGCACATCACTCCACACCAGCATACTACCAAACTCTGACTATTACAGCAAACATGTTCGGAAATATTCTTCTTAACATAGGCACAATAACTTTGCAAAGTTGAAAGATCTCAACAAACACGTCGCAGTAATTATGTGTGTCGTGTTCTAAATGTAGACCTATAGGTTAATCAGAGATGGGTTGTTACAACAACACTTTTTTATTTAAGAAGTGGTCCTTTTATTCTGTTAATATTTCCATTTTTAAAGACACACTGTGGATAATTCACTGGTGGATATAGGCCTTTACAGAAGGATATCTGTCACCAATGGTTTATAAATACAGGTTCCTACACATGCGTTAGGCTATACATTTGTGTTTGATATACTTATGGATTGTCCTGAAAGAAAGAAAAAATTTATGCATTAAAACTATAAAACAAAAGGCAACACATTGAATTTATACAGTCTATGAAAAAAGAGCAATAAGAAACTAAATATTCAAAGCATTGAAATCATAAACATTTGTCAGATAAATATAACAGTTTTGCTATTTCATACCAATAAAGATGTTGCAACAAGCTAAGATTGATTAAAAACTTACTAAGAATAAATATTTTGTGGTGATGATAACAAAAGATAAAAACATTAAAGTTCAGAACATATATTAAAATAACAGTAACATAGAAATTTTGATGCTACAAGGGTACACTGTTTTCAGAGCGTAATAAAATACTGAAAAATGGCAAAAATTGATAAAACTTAAAACTAATCAGTCTACAAGAAAGTGGGAGTTTATATATTTATATATCATTTTTCTGTATTTTATTATGCACTGAAAATAATGTTCCATTGTGAAACCATAACTTGCAGGCTATTGCTATTTTAACTTTATTATTTTAATATATTTGTGAATTTGTTACTCATAAATATCAGTTGTTTTTATCTATTAATTAACAAGTAATACAATTAGTTCAACATTAGTGATAAGGAAAAAATACTAACTTTTTAATGCACAATATTAACATTATCAAACATTCCACCAAAAACTTTTAAGAAGATATTAAAACCAATGTGAAGTAAAGAGATATATAGTTTTGAACCAAGCATCTCTCGTTATTAAAGATTTTTGAAGAATTCTTAAATGAAATTTGCATTTCCAATCTGATATTCATATTAAAAAAGTTCAAATATCATAAATATTAAATAAAGAAAGATATGCTTGCAATTTTTAATTCAGTGGGAGAGACTAAAATTTCTTTATGTGCTTTGATGGAAAAACATTTTTAACAAATTTTTGAATGAGACAAACTCATTATTTTACTGGAAGGGAAAAAAAAACATATTGTTTTATAAGATCAAATTTTTACCTACTCTCGCTTAAGTCAATTTCATGATCACAAAATTTTCCAACGAAAAAAAAAAAAAAAATCATTTAATATTCTAATAACAGAAAAAAAATTGTCTTAAACAAACTTCATTCTCCAACTCCTTCATTCACACTTTACTATGATTTTTGTGTTATAAAATAAGAAACCTACAGATAAGAATCTTACACATTAGTCATTTCATTCACAACTAAAAAAGCTTAATTTTGCAATCCTATATACTTAAAAAATTTTTGTGATTGATGATAAATTGCCATGTTATATTTCGATTCACATGATTCTGAAGGCATTACTGTACAGTATATATACATAAATAGAATTTTAATAAAGGAAATAGATATTTACCTTTGTTTGAACGGTACCTTTCAGCTGGACCCCAGATTCTCACTGTTCCATCATCAGAGGCACTAGCTAGCATGCTGGGGTAGGTGGGATTCCAAGAAACACAGTTTACAGTGCGTGTATGACCAAGAAGAACAGCTATTGGCATTTCTCTCTTAATGTGCCATATGTACACTTTGTTATCTGTCAATATAGATAGATTTTACTTTGAGATCTTTAGCNAAAAAAAAAAAAAATCATTTAATATTCTAATAACAGAAAAAAAATTGTCTTAAACAAACTTCATTCTCCAACTCCTTCTTTCACACTTTACTATGATTTTTGTGTTATAAAATAAGAAACCTATAGATAAGAATCTTACACATTAGTCATTTTATTCACAACTAAAAAAGCTTAATTTTGCAATCCTATATACTTAAAAAATTTTTGTGATTGATGATAAATTGCCATGTTATATTTCGATTCACATGATTCTGAAGGCATTACTGTACAGTATATATACATAAATAGAATTTTAATAAAGGAAATAGATATTTACCTTTGTTTGAACGGTACCTTTCAGCTGGACCCCAGATTCTCACTGTTCCATCATCAGAGGCACTAGCTAGCATGCTGGGGTAGGTGGGATTCCAAGAAACACAGTTTACAGTGCGTGTATGACCAAGAAGAACAGCTATTGGCATTTCTCTCTTAATGTGCCATATGTACACTTTGTTATCTGTCAATATAGATAGATTTTACTTTGAGATCTTTAGCATACAATGTTTTTAAAACACACTGATAAATAGGGTTCACATCAGTAATGAAAATTTAGTGGTCAAATAGGACCACCTAGATATTCATTTAGCAGTCCAAAAATTTAATATGGTAGAAAAAAAAATTCTACTTTGCAAATACATAGTTCATGTTATGGCACACATCAAAAAATATTAATTGCTATCTATATAGTAATAATAACTAATTAGGTTCAATATCCCATAATGATTAAAGATTAGTATCCATTAAAATTAAGTGTAAAAAGCTTAAATAATATAAGTAAATAGATTAAACATACAGACTAAAATGCTGAGACCAAATAAATAAAATGAGAAAGACAAAGAACTAACAAAATATTTTATTATTAAAAATTAATTATCCAGATATTACAAAATTCAAATTAAAAATTATAAAAGTCAATTATTAAAAAATGCAAAACCCATTATTATAAGCAAATATATTGTTAGTACTTGAATGCAAAACACAGCACAACATGTAAATTTGGAATTTCAGCATTTATTAAAATATTTTCAAGACAGGCTAATAATCTGTAGCTAGAATAAGAATAAATAAAAATAAAAAATAAATAAAAAATTTTAAGACTAACTTTAAACACTTAATAGCATAATGGATAACTGTCATTGTTAAATTTCTATGATTTTTACAAGATACAGTTTCCTTTATGATAATTATGATCAAAACCGTGAGAAAAAAAATCATTTTTTTTTAGAAAACTAGCTTGATGACTAAGTTGTAGTCTAAGTGTGCCTTAACAAGGAATTTCATTTTTTGAAGAGCAAAAAGTATAAGATTAGAAAACAATAAAAATAAAAAAAATACATTCAGCAACATGAAGGCAAGAAAACAACCCTTACAGGAAAGTTGCTATCTAACATGGCTAGTTATCCAAGATTAAATGCAGAATTACAAAAATATTGCTACATTTTTATGCTAAATAATTATTTAAAAAAATATTACTACATTTAGAAAAATATTACTACATTTTATGCTAATTAATTAAGATATATTAATATATTTAGAAAAATATAACTACATTTTATTCTAATTACTAAAAAATATTACTACCTTTAGAAAAATTTTACATTTTATACAAATAATTTTTAAAGATAAATCTTGAAAATACCTTCACTTCCACTAGCAATGAAAACTTGATTGACTCCACCAAAACAAGAGTGAATGGTATAATATCCTTGAGTCACACCTTGAAACTTTCGTACTAAAACCCTGTCTTCAATATCCCATAGATGCACACCCTGCAATAATAGGGAAAAAATATATGTATTAATTCAATTCTTCTTTTTCTTGAAAACATTTTCATACTATTTAAAACATAACTCTTACTGAGTAACTCTTACTTCTATTACAATATACTAAACTTCACTATTATATTTAAGTAATAAGATCGAAATTTTCTAAGAAATTATTACCAACACATTTTTAAAAAAAAATCATATATTTTAGAAAAGCTTGCATAAGTCCACTTAGCTAGAAGATAGAGCAAATTGCTGAAGTAAAAAAGATAAGTTTTCTTTAGTAATACTGAAATGCAAAATTTAATTAACACTCCACAGTTTAATTTCTTTTTGAACAATAAAGAGACCATAAAAAATGAAGTACTAAAAAATATATTATTAAAAAAATTGAGAAACAGTATTTTCTACATTAGTTTTTCATAACCTCCATAATTATGTGGTCAGACTATATGGTCATATTCTAATAATCTAAAATTACTATACAGGGTTGCCACTCAAATCTGGAAAAAAAATTCTCCGTGTTTTCCCTGTACATATTATATACAATATATATTAAGAGGAAACAGAATTACTGCACTCTTCTGTGAGCTATATTAGGCTCACTATAGTAGTTTTAATTGCTGGAAAAAATTAGAGAAAAAAAGGAACAGTTGAACATACTTAAATAATGCTATAAGAAATGAAATAGTTGATATAGTTGGAATATCATAACCTTTATCCCATAGATTAGGCATTGACCCTGTAGCAGAATTTGTTCGAGCTATCTGCGACAAAACTCTCTATCATTAATATTTTTCTGCAAGATACTTTTAATAATACTAAATATATATGTTACAAATTTAAAATAACAAAAACGCTGGGTTTACAAAAAAAATACCATATAATTTTTTTTAATAAAACACATAATTTTTTTATTCTAATATTATGGGTGATATTCTCACACTTTTTATGGAGTAGGTGGGACAAATTATTTCCTTTTTCACATTTCGTAAATAATTATCATAATGAAAAATACAATTAAAAATCATGAAATCCGTAGTAGTAATTGCTGAAAAAAAGATCGACGACAAAATCACGTGGATCGGGCTCCTCATATGCGTGTTTCGCTTCGAAATTATGTTGTTGTAATAAACAATATTGCATAAAAAATATCGCATATAAAAACTAGAGAAATTAATGGCAATAATTGCCAAAAATTCGATAGAATTATTGCCTCAAAAAGGAAGTACTCAAACGCATGATTTGAATTTTCCATATTGTTTGAAATATATCGGGATATTTAAAATCCACGGGAAAACCAATATCAATAACTGTGGAAAATACAGTCAAAACATTACATCAATTTAGGATACTATTGTTGTAAATTAAGCACGTCAAAAAAAGATTATCTAAATGCATGAATCAAATATTATGTCAAATTTCTGTAGAAAAGAAAAGTAATTTTGTTTTTAACCTTTCAAAAGAAAAATATTTTTGCAACAATGTCGCTGTGATTCTGCTACGGGGAGCATTGAGAGGTCACCATTTTTTAAAAGACGAAAATAAGAAACAAAATTCCCTGTATTTTCCCACTTTGTTAAGAAAAAAATCAAAATTTCCTGCATTTTCACTGTTATTTTAGGTGATATTTAATTTCCCTATATTTTCCAGGATTTCCTGGTTCTGTCTATGAAGTGGCAACCCTATTATAAGATTTTTATTACTTCTTTCAAACAGTATCTTCAAAATATTATTGAATCAAAAGAAATGTTTCCTACAGCTATAAAGAAAAACCTATCAATGCATAATTGAATTTTTAATTGTCCTTTTTACAAGAAAATAAAATAAAAAGCAAATTTTATTAACAGATACATAATATATAATAATACAAAATCTACAAAATGGATTAAAATATTTTTTTAAGTTGCAAATAGCACTTAAATAAAAATATCATACATTTATAAAGTATACCTATAAATTAGTGATCTAAGAAAAGGTCATACCTGTGTAGCAACATTCAATAAGGCCAATCTACCAGAATCATCACAAGTGAAAGACATAACTGAATGCCCTTCTTGTAATCTGTAAAAATTGCACATTTTATAACTAAGAGTAAAAGAAGTGTAATTTAATAGAAACAATACCAGAACATCAAATGGAATAAAAAATAAATAAAATAACATGAAAGGAAAAGACACAAAGTTTGAGTCATTGTACTAACAAAGGAAAGACAGGGCAGTTTTGGAATTTGATTTGGGGTAGAAGCTGAAGTGGTTTAGAATTATTCTTATTTAAATGGATTGCAAATGAAAACTGATAATATCATTCAATAAAGAAATATTTGCAAAACATGAAAATATTAGCAGAAATATTTAAATTTAAAAAATTAAACAAATTTATATAAAAAATAATTATTATTTTTTAAAAAAAATTTTTATTATATAAAAATAATTAATATAATAATTTAACAAATTGGTTATTTTTCATTTTAATGTTCGATTAAAGCAAATTTGCAACAAAAAAAGTATTTCTTTTTCCTTTTAAAAAAATATATGCTGAAATTTAATTTTTTATTGTATTGGACAAGAAAAAGAACATAGGTATAGAAATTGAAAATATAGACCTGACAATATTTTTCATTTTAACCATGAACTGTTAAATGAACAAAAAGAAAAAATAATAATAAAAAGTAAGAAGTGAAAATACTTGATAGCATTAAAATAATAGGACAAAAAAAATTAAAAAATAATTTACTTTCAAAAATTTAATATGATCATTATGTAGCAATGCTTACTTTTAAGTACAAACTTACATATTGAAATCTGTCAGGTCTTCAAAATTGTAGCCCCTGATACGATGATGAGTGTCAGCAGCTAAGACTGTTTTACCATCCTTTCTACACCACAGACACTGAACACGAACACCTTCCCAAGAGTCTAGAACATTACCATCTAAATCCTATAATAGTATAAGTAAATAAAAATTATTATTATTATATATATGTTTTTTTAAATAACATAAAGAAAAAAATATTATCTATGAAGAAATGAATATTGCATTAATATGCAAAATTCTGTATTAGTGAAATAAAAGTTGAAGCAGAAAATAGAATACCAAACTTTTTTAAAGAAACTAACAGTTATTTTCATTTCAGATCTAGCTACATTGACTAATTGCACTTCTTTTCAGATAAAAAGTTAATTAATAAATATTGAGAATAGTATATAAAGGATTTTGTTAGACTCGAAATTACAAATAAATATTAAAAAATTTAGGATAACTAATACTGCTAAAAATTAAATTTTGTGTTTAAAATGTTCATTATTCGTTTGCCTTGAGGTGTTTTGTTTACATTATTATGACATTTCAAATATCCTTAAATTTTAACTATTTAATATCTGTCCTCCTTCACATAGCCATAAACACTTTTTTTAATACATCCGTTTAAGAAAAAGCTAACTATATTCATATATAAAAATACAATAGGGGTCACATTATTGGCAACATTATTGGCAACATATTGGCCACATTATTGGCAACATATTTTTAAACTTTTTTTAAAATTAAAATAATTTTTTTACAAATAATAATAAAAAAACTAAAACAACCAAATTTTTACAAAAAATTTTTTTTACTTTTTTAACTACTGAGCACTCAGTGTTCAAAAATAACAATCAAAATAGAAAAAGAGATAAAAATTTTTCCTTCTGATGTACGTTTCATTGTTAAAACTGTTTACCGAACTGCAACTTCTGTTCTCAAAATGTAGTTAGTTTTATTACTATGAATAGATTTTTTGCTTTTAAGTAAATTATCAAATTTTCAGAAACAATTACTTATATTATCTAACAGTTAGTTAAAGCTATTTTAACTGGGTACATTTATTTCTCTGTTGAAAGATACGTACTTTGCTTCACTGAATATTATTTAAAAAATATAATAATAATAATTTATCTAAAAGCAAACTTAAACAAAAAGTGCAGCAAGCTTCTGAAGAAAATTTTTTAATATTCTTCTTTCATACCAATGGAATACCTGCAAGTGAAGTAACGTTGCATTTCTTTACGTTTTCAACTGTTTTTTTCATTCTATTTCGAGTAAGCCAAATCCGTCAAGTATCAATTCACTTAAGCAACTCATTCTATATCCTTTCACAAGATTTCAATTCTTTTATTATATATTTCTTACTTAGCATAAAGACAGGCATGAAGCCATGTAGAAAATAAACAAAGTAATATCAAAATTAATAACAGAATCAAGACAAGTTACAATGAAAGTGGCAGAAAATAAAAAGTTTAACAAATTTATGAATATATAAAAATCAAGAAAGTCTAAACTTACACACTGATAGAATTGCCCTCTAGTTCCACCGCATACAAATCGTTTTCCATCTTTATTCCAGGCACATGTAGTTAAGCTATCTTCAGGAGAGTGGTTCATTTTGATTCGAAGACCGCCAGTCTTTAAAAAAAAAAATAATAAAATTAGAAGCATCTTATACTTTGGTGTAATTTCAAATCCTAAACAATTCAACATTTATTTAGCACAGAACAAATAAATCAGTATTACAGAAAAATTGCAAAACATACAAATTAAAATGACATTTAATGAAAAAAATATATAAATACTGAAAAATAAATCTTACAGCAATATTCCAAACCCACAAATCAGAGGAATCATCAGGACCACACGCTATGAGATATGTATCATCAGGACTCCAAGCTAAAAAGGAAACCCCTCCAGGATGGCCTTCGAATGTTCTTCGATGCGTGAGTTCTAGAGTATCCTAACAGAAATATTAAAAAATGAATAAATAAATTAAATGAAGTCTTTACTATAAAAAATAACAGTATTTTACTAACAGTATAAAATCAAGATCATTAACTAACAATAACTAAATGTAACAAGTAGCAGCACTAAAGATCTGGTGACTAATTAAATAATGTAGTCACCAAGTCACTAATCATAACCAAGACACTCATCATGTAGTCACTAATTATATAAGATAAACTTTTTGAAAATGGAAAAACTGATTGGTGTCAAATCACTTTAATTTTTAATTTGAAGAAATGTGAGTCAACATATCATTATCCGCTTGTAAAAATACATCCATTATTTTTTACATAAATTTCCATCAACATTTCATGTAGGTATTTAAATATTATGAATACTATCAGAAAATATTTTTAATAATCAAGTCGAAAGGTACAGCTACTTTTCTCATAAATTAGGGTTGCAAAGTAATTTTGGAATTAACTAATAATACTTACAGGATTAACATCCCATATGCTCACAGTGGTATCTTTTGAGCCAGTAGCTAATTTTTTACCATCATTAGAGAAACGACAAAACCAAACTTCATCACAGTGATCTTTCAAAACTTGAACAGTCTCACAAGGAAACTGTTCCCTACAGTATAGAAGAAGAAAAAATTTACATACAAAAAACTATTAACTACCTTAAAAATTTTAAATATACTTATCAAGCATTTCCTTATTAAAAAAAGTCCCAATTACACAGCCTGAAAATCAATATTGATTTTAAAATTAAATAATTTTCTAAAAATTATGCATATGAATATACATATGTTATTATAGCACTTATTCAAACATTACACAAAAACTGTACTATCATAAGTTATTGTTATGTATCTCAACCATTTCATCAATGCTAAAATTAATAAATAGAAATAGTACAGTTTTCTGATAACCCAAAACACTACTCAAACAAGTTTCAGAACATTAAACAAATTTTTTTTTAAATATTATTTATTCATTTATCTATTTTTACAAAATAAGTAGTTATTCAATAATTAAAAATTATGCAATAATTATACATTAAATTTTAAAAAATAAACTTTAATCTTATTATTATGCCATTTCTTTTCAATACTTCTCAGTTTTTTATCTTAAATTAGACCAAAAAAAGATAATAATAATACATTTATACTTTATAGATAAATTTATGATTGGGTGATTATATGAACATCTCTAAATAATAGTTCACTAAAAAAAAATAAAGTTAACCTTACTTTTTCTCTTATCTCATTTCTAAAATAGTACACCTTTAGCTTATTTCTGCTCACAAATAAAAAGCATCAAAGGTCACATAAGTTATGTAAGGCAGACTTAAAGGCTCTATAGCTAAAAAATGCGCAAAAGTGGTGTTGCATCACTATTCAAATTAAGGCTTTTATGTAAGCAACTGCAGTTGGCAAAAATGATAATTCAAACAGCATCTTTCCCTTTCAACGAAATTTAACACTCTTTATTATAGTTTATATAAACCAATACACAAATTTTATTTTTTTGGAAAATGTTTACCTTAGTGAAAGGTATATGCAAAATAAAACATCAGCTAATAAAAGCAGTAATAGATCATTGGTCTCTAAATATCATTTAAAATAACAAGAGTCTAATATAAATTGTACAGTTGCAATTAAATAAATTTTTCCCAATAACTCCGAGGTCAAGGAGCATAAGACTTCACCAACAGCATAATGGTGGTAATATGGTTTGCAATGAGCACCGATTGCTTCTGAGACAAGCTGGTACCCATTGATTTGAAGCTTAGTAAACTTCAAGCCACCAGCAGAAATAGAACCCAGTTCTACAAAATGACTTATTACCTAAGCCACCATACTATCATGACCCTTATTAGAGTAATAAAGACAATGGTATTTTGATTGTTATTGCTACAGAAACTTTCAGAAAGGAATAAGTTTATGTTAGTTTGCAACAATATTACTATTTACTTACTATTAGCTTACTTACCATTATTATTATACTTACAATATTATCCTAACATAAAAAATGCACTTTAAACATAAATTACTTTGGTTAAGTGCAGATAAGTTTTGAATTTGCATAATATTGAACAGTAGAAACGACTCTTTACAATAAAAACCAAGTTTTAAAATGAGAATAATATTTAAATCTACAGTACTTTGCAATTAACATATCATTTGCTAAATTCTAAATTTTTATATGAGTTGATACTTTCTTTTATTAAGGAAATGCTAAGTGATAAGTTCTGAATGAATAAAAATTAAAATTTACTTTGTACAGGTGTGGTCAATCAGGAGAGAAATATTATCTAAATTACTGTCAGATTTTGAGTTATGGTAAGGACATCTATCTTTCTGAAGCTCTACTGCTTGATTTAAAAGGGTTTGAAGCCTTCTTGGCGGTAACATCACAGAAGGAGGAAGGAAAGCTAAAAAAAAGAATGCTACATGATTAACAATGTACCAATTCACGTATCTGGAGTTTAAACTAAGAAAATAAATTGAAAATTTTTATTGTTTGATGAAATACATATATTTTTAAAAGATATAGTTATTTAATTTTTCTAAAGTAAAATACTTTTTTCAGCATCATTAAAAACCATTCTTATTTCTTATTATTGTTTTTTTTTTTTCGCATTTCACTAGTTATGCAATTATGTAAATTATTATGTAAGAATGATTATGATTGTTAAGTTTTGTACAGAAATAAATCTATAAATGAGGATTTCTGAGCCTTGAAAAAAAAAGAGAGTCTGAAAAGAGGCTAAATGTTAGCAAAAAGAAATTATTAGTAAAGTAGAAATAAGGATCATTGCAATCAGGGTCTGCTGGTTTGAACCAAAGTGGTTAAACCAAGTGGGTTTAAAAAAATAATTAATAAAAACAAGCTCGTTTTATTGTTTTAAATATTTTTTATTATTTAGATGGATTTTTTCAGTTTTTCAAAATGAAAAAGATTTAAAATTTTGAGTTTAGTTCAAACTGGGAATCTGTATTATTTCAAATAAACATAAAACTGCAATTTTTAAATGTTTAGACAGAAATGGTTTCCAACAAAAATATCTTTGTTAAACAGGGTTGGCATTTTATCTAGAACACACCTATTTTTTTCATTAGAGTGGAAGAGAAACTGGAAAAAATCAAGAAAAACTAGATAAAATGATCGAAAATAAAAATGACCAATACAATTGTTTACCGTTAATTGTTAAATCATAAGCATAATTCAATTTTAAAAAAATTAAATTTAAAAAAGTTACAGAAAATTTTAAGTTTTTTCATTTATTATTTTTTTAAAAATTATTTATTAGTTTTTTTTTTGTTAAGAATTTTGAAATCCATATATCATATTATCTAAGAATTGATTTAAATATTCATGCTTAACATTATTTGATTATAAAAATCTGTATGCTATTTAGAATTAAATATGTGTTTTTAGTAGTATCTACGTTTAGTGTGTGATTTGTTAGATTAATTAGAGTTATTAATAAAATTTCCTTATTTTATTTTAATAGTTCTTCATATAATTATAAATAATTATAATAATAGTTCTTCATATCTTACTTAAGTTTTACTATACTTTTCATTTTGAGTAACTTCAACCTTTTTGCCNTTAGTGTGTGATTTGTTAGATTAATTAGAGTTATTAATAAAATTTCCTTATTTTATTTTAATAGTTCTTCATATATTTATAAAATTAAACTTAAGTTTTACTATACTTTTCATTTTGAGTAACTTCAACCTTTTTGCCCACTCATTATTTCATGATTCGATTCAATTGTCAATCATTTGAATTTATTACTATTAATTTTATTTTCTGGTAAATATATACTTCTATGGTGAAGTTTCAGTTCATTGGAACCATGTGATTGTTGTCATATCCACTCAGAAAATAATGTGTTAATTTTAAAATAAACTATTATTTGTTCATAACTTTTTCGTTGTTCGTCATAATTGGCATTGGATCATCATTGGTATTCATTCTAAATTGGCATCGTAGCTATCTTGCACAAATTAAGAAGAAGAAAAAACCACTTTAATGTGCATCAAAGCTAGTTCAATTGTAATATAAAACAATTATATAAAAATAGAAATCATTATATTACAAATATATATANCCTATATATATATATATATATATATATAGGATATTTAGGTTAGGTACTTGAAAAATAAATTAAAACAAAAATTATTATGTTGATAAATTTAAGCCTGACTGATAAGTAATGAAGAGTTAAAAAAAAGTACGTTATATCCTTCATTCTTAAATATATTCTATTAAGAAAAAATGAGAGAGTAACCTTGAAGTTTTTCCATCAACTTTTGCCTTGAGTGCACTCCTTTTCCATCCCAATGAGACATTCTTCTCAGTTCCTCTCCAGTGCTGCACATCATATAGCTAAATAATAAAATATCAGAATAAGTCAATTTTTTAGAAACATCAATATGATTCAGTAGAAAAAAATATTTTAAAACTCTGGATAAATTGCAATTTTCAATCTTCAGATAAATTCCTTGTGTTGCAGCTGTTTTGAAACATGTCTAATTTACGTATAAAAATTTTGCTGAAAGAATGCTTTTCCCTATTTTTAGTTATAAAATTATACAAACCCTTCTCACTTAATTCCAGAAATAAAATTCCCACACTTTTCGATGTATTTTAAGAAAATTCATCATAATACTACACAATATTTTATCTTAACACTGAATTTTTTCATCCAAATATAGTGATTTTCCCCCCATTTTTTATTATAAAGGTTATCATGAAACAATTTTACTGAAATGTGGAATTTTAACAACAAATAATTGTAACATATATTAGAATTAATTTCAATTTCAATAACTGATTACTGTTAGACTGCCCATTTCCCAGGAATGTTGAAGGAATTTTCTAAATTTTTGTTAAAGAATTATGATATTTTTCCTGACTCTTCCCTGATTTTTAGAATAAAATCAGATTCTTTAACGATTTCATAATTCCCTTGTTCTTCCCCCCAACTTGTGGGAGCCCTAAATATATATACTTTTTCTTATTTTTTTATTTTACAAGAACTGTAGATCTGGGTTCATTGTGATGGAATAAATATCCAGATCCTTCAAGTTCTTTTGATGAAATTTTGTGTTCATCAAACAATAAAGAAAAATGGATGCACAACTTCATTTAAATTTTTGAGACATTAATAAATTTTTTTTCATTATTTAATAACATACAATATGCACAAGTCAATATCCCAGAGTTATACATGTTGTACAATATATAAATAGCTCAATATATTTAAGCTCTTACAAGAAATGATTAAAGGACTTTCCCAATCTGTTCCTTGTCTAAAATAAAATAGAGCTACACAACAATGAATTTAGAATAAAGGTCTAGAAAATTTCCATGGCCTTTTTTCCAAATTCAATGATTTTCAAGGACTTTTGAGCTAATTTTAAAGATACAATTTCACCTGATGCTGCGGAATACAAATTAAGATTTTAAAAATAAAAGGGTAATTAACAAATCCACTAAAAGAGATTTTTGGTCGATACGGTACAGATTCTGATATAATGCATGCAACATGCACATATAATCACAACCACTAGCTTTTAACTTACCTACTCAATTCATGTACTCTATTAGTGTTAAATCGAAGAGGAGTCAGTTCATGTCTTAAACACTGAAGAGCTTCAAGCACATGACCATCTTCTAAATATTCTAAATATTTCTGCTCCAGAAGTAAAAATTTCATTTCCTAAAAATAATGTTAAAATAATTATTTCACAAGCCTTGACAAAGCACTTAATACATTCTTTTCAAAAATTAAGAGTTATAAAGAAATACTGATTTTAATGATATTCTGTTATTAAAAAAATCTGCAGTAAGTTGGGAAAAAAACAAATCATGGAATACTAGTAACACTTGCTTTTAGCACAGTACCTAAATTCTATTTATTTTAAATATTTAATCATATAAACAACTTAAAAGCCTTAGATTTGTATATAAAATTCAATGTTTTCAAACAATAAAACCTGTTTTAAAAAAATTTACTATCTCCCTAAATATCTGTGAAAGGAAAAGAGCAAAAAATGCATTTATTGATCATGCAATTTGTATAGTTTTTTTAAGTGAATTTTTTCATTTGGAAAAGAGCCAATTATTGTGATTTTACCTTACTACAAAACAATAAATAAAATAAAGGTTTTTAAAACTACTTACGACCAAGGAATGTTGTGTTTCCAGTAATTGCTTTAAATCACCCAGATCTGTTTCAGCCTAAAATAAATAAGATCTGTAGATAATATCTGTTCAGAGAAAGCTAGGAATAACTAACGCTACTTAAAACTTATGGTTTAACTTTATCATAACTAGCAACTCAAAAATACCAAAAACAAACATCACATAATACCCACCTATATTATATAAATGCATTATTACATAAGTTTTAAACCACCATTAAACATAAAATTCATTTTTTCCAACGAATATCTTATAAGCGATTTATGTAATAATAATAAACTTGATAAATAAACTTTTCTCTAAAAACTTTTTAGTAGTTTTCAAATTACACCTTATTATGACACGAGAAAGCTCTTACTCCAATAGAAGGAGCAGATTGAAAATTACATTGGCTCCAACTTTTCTGATGTCAATGAAAAAATGGCCTTCAAAAATTGTTTTTCTGAGATAAAGGAAACAGACATGGAAACAGGTATGGAAACAGATAAAAAGATTTATCTCAGAATATTATTATTAATCCTTCAGATTCTAAGAATTAAAAATAATATTAATTCCAATAGAAATTTAATCTGCAGAAGGAACTGCTAAAATAATTAAAAAACATTCAATTAAAGATAAAATTACAATACTATCCTTATTATGACAAAGATATCAGTACAAGAGTTATGTTCTGTTGTGCAATAAAAAAAATTCAATTTTTTAAAAAGTTGTCTGAAAAAATATTGGTCTTTCGGATCTATGTTAATTTTAATTCCAAATACTGCTACTTTTTTTAAAATAAAGTAAGAAAATAGAAATGAACAACATTTCGTAGAATATATAATTATGTACTATTTTAAATTTGTTACAAGCACAATGAATGAATCATCTAAGATAGTGAAAAGTTTTCTACGGTCATTAAATAAAATAAATATATGGGTACAAAATTAAACACCATATAGCCTTAAATCCAGACTTAAAAATGAGAAGAAAAAAACTTTGAGAACAGTAGACTATCTTCATCTCTATTCAAAACACATTTTTTTAAAAACCAAATTACCATAACTGAGATATTAAAAAAAATTACAGAAAGAATTTTAATACTAGCATCAACCTTCCTGTGGCTAAGGGTGCAAATGCGGCTCTTGAATGGTCAAGATACAACCCCTAGTCATCAAACCACAAATTAATTGGAAAAAACCACATAACTAGTATATGAGATTTTACAGCTGCTTTGTAACTTTAAGTTAGAAAAAACACTCAATTTTCGACAAACAAAATGTAGAGTCACTATTTCAAGGTGTCAAAAGATTTAAATTTTTCAAAATTTCAATTATTCTTAAAGAAAATTATCTTCAAACAAAGCAGGTTCAAAACAATTTTTTTTCTGTTAAAGAAAAGATGTTATATTGCATTATAGAAAGCAAAATATTCAAATTTCAGAATATTATATGCATAATTTGTCGATTAAGACAAAATGAGGGTCTTGGAACAAGAATCAAATATGCCTGAATTTTTATTTAAAAAAATTTTAATGCATTTTTTGACCATGGACAATATAATTATTTTAATCAGTACAATAACTTGGCAGATACGTAACATCACTTAGGCCAGTGTTTCCCAAACTTATGACTTTCATATACCCTTTCTAAATTTTTCTTAGTGCGGTGTACCACTAATAAAAAAATGAATACATTTTTTACTTTCAAAAAATTGCACAAAAGTTAAAAATCATAACTGGCTGTTGACACCACTAATTATTAACTGTTAACTCTGCAAAAAATATCCAGTAGAAAAATACGTAATCGTAAATTTTCATGGCTAACTTTGATTTTAAAGAAATTTTCATTTGTTGCAAGATATTTCGCTTAAGAGCGCGTACCCCCGCTAAACTGTTCCTGTACGTACGCGTACCATACTTTGGGAAACACTGACCTATGCATAAGTTAAAAGATGGTAAAATATTGGTTACTTTCATTACTGAGAACAAAAGAGTATATTGCATCTTTTAATCGGTCGGCATTCATGATTATAGTAAATTTCTTTACAAAGGATTTAATTAATTCATCTATCATATTTTTCTTGTTTGGAAACTGCATTCCTTCTTTGTGTAATTGTTCCAATAGGTGACTTAATGAGAAGTTAAAACAATTTTGGCATTCACATTCTCATTGATTTTATTTTAATTTAGAGTACTGAGTTCTCTAGACAACCATGTTGCTTAATGAAATTAGCTACTTGCGAATAATGTGATATATATACTTATAATAGAAATTAAATATTCAAGTGGATAAAAGAATTTTCTTTTCATTTCCGTCTAAAAAAAAATTTCAAAAGAAGTGCAGCATTAATGAGATATAAGCAGTGTTCCAAAAATTAAAAGAAATTTTGGTAGCCAGTAAAAAATATTTGCTCTCTTTTATTGCTATCTTTTTTTTCTTTAGTTATCAGATTTGAAATTTTTTGGCATAAAAATCAAGCACTTACATTTGGAATACTTATTGCAAAATATATGATAACAAAATATTATAAAAAAAACTATTAAAGAAATATCACAATGATAAAAAATCAATAGAATGAAAAAATAAACATTGATGTGTAATTTCTGAGTATAATATTCCTACAATGAAATATATATTTCTGTGAACCAGAGATTGCATTAGACGCTATAACAGTTTCCATATTATTACGGCTATTAATTTCCTATCGCACATTTGAATAACGACATACTCAATCCGTAATGACTTGATTGTGAATCCATGCTGCTTATCAAAAGGTGAACTTCGTATCAGGTATTTGAGTCATTACTTTTGACACATTTGATTTTCATTTATCTATTTTTTTCAGTTATTGCTACGGATCTCTTTGTGGTTTTTATTATCATAATATTATTAAAGGTGTACAATTCTAAACACTAGCATTTGAGTAATCCCCTTTCGATTTGATATCAACATTTACTTGTCTTAGCATTATTTATTATGAATCCATGAGGTTCTTTGATCACTATTTACCAAATATTGCCAGATTTTCACAAGCTTTTTTAAAGTTCTGTTTTCTTTTTTTTTTTTTTTGAGTCAATGTTATTACAAAACTCAAAATCAGAAATTTAAGGAATACCTGGCAGTTGAGGAATACATGTTTCTCCAATGATTATTGAAAACATGGGACAGTGTTGGGAAAAAAATATTATATAAGCTTAATTCTCAAAAATGATTTTTTCATTCAAATATTTAAATGCAAAAAATGGCAAATTGTAATGCAAAGCTGAAAATACAGCCGTTAGTTAAAAGTTGTAAGTAAAAATGTCCCAAACCCTGCTTATAAGTACGAAGTTTTATGTACTTATGATTTAAGGACCTCATGTTATAATGTTCATTTTTCTATGGACCATCATTATATTCAGGGCAAATTCAATTAGCTTATAAAAAACTTAACTCATTGCAGAAATAAAACATTTTCTTTTTCATTCCAACTCCTACTTCTTTCAACAACAACAAAAAAAAAAGATTTGCATCCCTAGTGTATAGTGTCCCAATCTCCCTCAATATTATTTAAGAAGATGAATTTATTAATGAATAAATTAACAAATAAAGAGCATTATGGATAAGTACACAGTATAAAAATAATGTTAGCCAAAGAAATGATGTTAATACCTTTGGCCAGTCACCATCCATAACATGAGCTTGAAATTTGGCAGCAGATGGATGATCTAATCTACAGCCAGATTCTTTCATTAACTGTTCAGCAGTACGACTAAAATAAGCACCATCAAGTTATAAAAAATTCTTACAAACCAGACATAAAAAGGTATTTTGGTTTAAAATATTACTTTAAATTACATATTCAGCATAACTAATTATGAATTATAACTATTGTTGAATTAATGTCAATTCTTTTATATGAGAACAAGAAGGCAAAATTATTGAATAATTAGACAATTTTAAAGTTTGAAAAATGCAATGTAATTATGAATCAAATAAAGTTAAAACAATTCTTACTCACTACATTTTAAAAAGTATTTGAACTTAAAATAATATTATTTTAAATTATTTAATAAAACTGATTTTGAAAATTAACATTGAAATAGTGTCAATTTTGTAATAATAATGCCAAACTATTATAATAATGTCGATTCTATAATAATAATGTCAGTTCTATAACAAATGTTTGACCATCAAAGAAAAATGATTGAATAAGTAGATATTCAGGGATCTGTCCAGGCCGAATTTGCTACCGTTTAGCGGTACCTTCACAAATTCAACTTTAGGAAAAACGGTAGTTTCACAAATTTAACTTTAGGAAAAACGGTAGTTTCACAAAATACTTCTTCCTAAAATTTTATTTTCGCATCCCTTAAGAAATGATAAATCCATATTTTTGTGTTAATTTTTTAATATAATTTTTAATTTTTCACAAATTATGTCTAAATTTGCACAAAATAGGTACCTCTTAGAAAAACCTGGACAGACCCCTGATATTTTATCCTTGAAAATACAATTAAGAATGTCCTGGAGTCAGATTCTACCTCTACCATCTCTCATTTTAACCAATCAAGAATTACATAATTGTCATTATATTATTTGGGTTATTAGTTACTATTTTGGAAATATTTTTGTTTCATTTTATTCATTCAAGTGCATTTTATGAAATTTAAGTTACTTAAATTTCAAGTATTGTTAAAAATGTCATAACTTATTAAATTTTCATTTCAATATGTTTTGGAAAAGTATTAAACTTAAAAATCAAAATTTGGTAAATTCTATAAGATACATTTTAATGAATGAAACCAAACAAAAACTTTTTAAATTCTATTTAGTAAGTTTCCTTCCTTCCTGAATGGTTAAACAAGTTAGGGTGGGTCCTAGTCTTTGCTGATAATTTCCTCTAAATAATCCTACTTTAGGCATCTGTTTCAATAATTTTTAATTTAAAGATTTCTATCAACATGATTGATCCACCTTTGAGTGGATTTTCACCAAAGTTCTTTCTTTATGGATTTAGACAAAAAAAAAATTCTTTTTTATCTACTATCCTCTACATTCCAGCCACATGACCAGCTATTTTGTGTCTCCACATCTTATTGAAATTAACAATAAAAAACTCTTTAAATATTTTGCAAAATTTTGAGTGCAACTTTTTCTTCTAAAAATATTCATTCACTTGAATTCCATAAAGAATACTTGAGAGTAATAAAAGGGCCTCTTCATTATGTGCTGTTGATGCCCTAATGCATACAGGTCTTAGGTGACTTTTACACATCATCAATGACGGTCCTGAGTAAGTTTTTCAGGACATAAAAGCATCTATTTAAATCTTTAATCATCTTCTAAATTAGAGTCACATAATTACAATTATTGATATCTGTTTCTTAATATTTAAAAGTATTTTTTTAAATCTTTTCTTTTTCAAAAAGAACATTTTGAAAGTCTAAAGCTAGGCATACCTACTAGTAGTTAAAAAAGAGGAAATTGGGATTTGTATAATTTATTAAGAATCAAATGTTAATATAGTAAAAGGACAAATAGAATCTACCTCCAGGACATTTTTAACATTTGAATGTTAAACTTCAGTCATATAACTGTTTATAAACAACATCATAAGATCAGCAGGGCTTAAGAATTGAAAAGACCTTGAAATAATTTCAAAAATAAATAAAAATCAGTTTGAGATGAAAGAATATTAAAAGTAAGAATATGGTAAAAGCATACAGTTTGATAAAATTTGCTTCTGATTAAAACATAATATGCTTTTAAAAAAATCGCAATAAAAAAAGGCAATTTTTTTTTCTACCTATAAAGTTAAAATCTTATTTACAGTTTTGCTAATTGTATAAGAACTATATTTAAACTGAATACGATAATAAAGATTTAGACTTAACGATAATAGTTTTAATAATATTCGCGTTAGCAAAATTTGTCTATTTAACAGTAATTGAAAAAATTATAGAAATAAGAAAAATTTAAACAATTCCAAAGTAAAGTTAGTTTATATAAAGAAAGAAAAAAAATTCGTTATTGTGTTAACAGAATTATTTCATTAGGGATCAAAACTGATTCTCTTTGTTTACAATCGTAGATCACAAATTTCTTCGATGAATCGAGTAATAACCTTGAAAGTTATTTTGAAAAATGAATAAGTATTTAAAATAACATGCTCCGGATAAGTTTGACAGTTAAATATGAAAGAAATTAAAGTTGTATAGCAATTTAAAAGTTAGATGTTCTAATGTAAATCAAAACAAAAAGAATGGCTGCGCATTGTTGACATTAACGTTAGACTCATTTGTATTGTAAAGATATGTTTCAAATTTTATTTTATTCAAATTTTTATGTTTGTAATATGATATGGCTGTAAATAAATAGGAATTAGGATAGGTTTAATTGGTTTTTGTTTCGTACTTTAATCCTAATCCTCGAAGATGCTGGCCTATTAATCGTATTATGTCTTGATCTGTTTGAGATCTTATCTTTGTGGAAATCGTCTTGTGAACGTCTCCATTAATTTCCACATTTTCTTCAAAGGAACAAGTACCGTTTTGCAAGTCATTACTAGTAGAAGCTGATTCACCATTATGACAACCATTACTGGCTTGCATGTTAGTACTGACTGCAGAAAGGCGCTGCTTTTTAAAGGGTGGGGGAGATACTCCACCGTCGTCGGAATCTGCACTCGATGCCAGGCTTGCTAGAAATGCGTCTTTTTTAAATCGTCTTTTAATTTCACTTTTAAATTCTCAAACGATATCCATCAAGGTATCATGAAATACCTCATGCACTACGTCCCTGATTCCACGAACCACCATCAGCTTTTATAAACATAGCCAATAGCAGAATCTCAGCTGTAGCTTCACTATCAACTACTACGTCACGAAACGTCACATAGATTGAACGATGGGATAGAAGAAACACATATTTAACAGATGGCGCTTTTGTGGATCGGAAGACAGCTAGAAAAGTCGTCAACAGGCACTTGAATTTGGTCTGGTAATATTTGATATTAAAAGTTTGGTCTCCTCATAAACGTTATTTTGTGTAAATTTTCCCTATTTTCGGAATTACTTAAACAAGTAAAAAAAAATATGGTTCATAATAAAACTAGTTTCTTCATTCCATGTAAACTAAAACATAGATCGCGATCGCAACGCTTGAGTACGTCCTCTAGCGGAGCCTGAAAATATCAGACATTTATTTATTAAGTTTTCATTAAATTTAATAAGCCACAATAAAGAATGAACGTTGCAATGCTACACTGACGACATTTCCAGAGCAACTGAATGACTGTTCGAATGGTTCCTCTCATACAGTACAACAACGCCCCCTGTAGCGTTGCGATCGCGAATCAGGATAGTTGATAATTTGTTTATCATTTAATTCATTGTTGATCGTAAAAATTTTAATCATAAGGTTAACAAACTTTGAATTTAATTTAAAATGTTATTTTGAATGCTAAAATCCAACGTTAGAGAAAATTGGCCGAAATTGGCCTTGAAAAGAAATTCAAAATTCCGACTTTTTTTAAATTTTAGAAACTATTCTAATTTATTTATTGGTTGATGTTGATGTTAATTTACGTCGCACTAGAGCTGCACAATGGGCTATTGGCGACGATCTGGGAAACATCCCTGATGATGAGCTTCTCACGAATCC